GGAGAAAAAAATTTGTATCAAAGTGGAACAAAAGAAATGAGGGTGGAGGGCCAAAATGGAACAAGGTTGAGTTAAAGTGCCAAAATAAAAAATTGGGCCAAGTTTAATGGTCTGTATATATATTTGGCCAAAGTAATATAAATCCAAACACCATGCATAATATAAAAGGAAAAGATAGTACTAGTAATAAAATTGTACTAGGGAGATTAAAAAAGAAAAAGTAAAACAGAGAGGACCGAGGACGGATTCATGAATCATGATCAGTTTTTTAAAAGGTATTTTCGGGACGAGTATCGGGGCGAGGCGCACTAAAAATGCCTCGATGCGATGGTGTGGGGCGAAAGTTTTAAGAGGCGTACGCCCAGCAATTCAAGGCGTATGCTCGGGTGTTCGGGGTGTACGCCCAGGCGTCTGAGGCGCATTTTTGTATAGAGGCGTAAGCCCTATAGACTTTTTTAAATTAAAACAAAATTTGTTGAATAAGTCTTTCATATAATATCCAAATTTTCAAAAGTCAGCTTGTAATTACTCAAAAGTTTTAAAAAGGAACTCAAATGTATTAAATATAAAAGTCAAGACTTTTTGATTGAAGCCCTAATTTATGGTCTTTCCCAATTCCTTATCTTGTCCGCTAGTCTGATAAAATCTTCCAAAAGCAACGAATATTCAATTTTTTCTTACAAAATACACAGAGAATTTTATTCTCCTTCATAGCAGTAAGTTCAAAATTCAAATTGCAGATTAGTCATCCTTTTTGTTCCTCCATGTAGAAAATTTTATTTTTTTCGACTCAAGTTACTTGTAAGTAGCACATAATAGGTTGCTTTGATTAGTTTTTATAGGGATGGAGCACATCTATATATATATATATATATATATATATATTTCACATATTTATAGCTTTCTTTAATTTTTGTTTAATTTTACCTCTTTATAAATATTTATTGTAATTATATTATTTTATAAAATATTAAAAATTAAATATTTATGGAACTTGCGTTGCGTGCGTCGAGGCTTATATTTTGCTAAGACATATGTAAAACGCTTTCCCTACGCTCACGACTTATCATGACTAGGAGAAACAATGTGAAAACCTACCTGTTTTAAAATTGAGGGGGCTAAGTGGCCTGTTCTTAAACTTCAGGTGATACTCGGCAACTCCACAGGCCACAGCTAAGCTGGTGCTCTTTGATTTATAGTAAGATCGCGCGATCAAATTACAGTTTCAACGCTTTATTCCTCACTGCCAGCAGCACTGTGAAGACTGTTGAGGATAAGGAAATGGCGAATCCTAGAAACAAATTGTCTCCTTACCTTCTTATCTGGGTCTTGATTTTATCCGGAACCCTAATTTTCATTCTGGTAATTTCATCGTTCTTCTCTTTCTGGCTTGTTCTCTTTTCTCCTAACATTCCTTTTGAACTTCCTGTGTTCTTGATTATGTCGATTGTATTCTCAGAACCGGTTGGGTGATACCGGAGTCGCATCGGATAAAGACATTAAAATCGAGCAGAATGATGAGGTTCAATTTTGACTTTATAAAGTAGCATTTTACCGGCTTGATTTTGCTGAACTATAGCGTCTTGAATTAGTAATTGTTTAATTTTCAATTCACAAGATGAGCATACATTTCGTGATTATAATTGTTGTAGGCGAAACCATCAGAGGATTTGGAGCACGTGACGCATAAAGTGTACTTTGATGTCGAAATTAATGGAAAGCCTACAGGTATTTTCCTTTGTATGTATCTTTCTACAGTTATATATAGAAGAGAATAAAAAAGATGCCTTTCAGTTTGATCAAGTTTTATTGTTTGCTAAGAATAAGGTGTGCATACACACTACCCTCCCCATACCCCACTAGTGGAGAGTTCTTGGAGGGAGGGAGCCGAGGGTCTATCAGAAACAGACTCTCTATCCCAGGGTAGGGGTAAGGTCTGCGTACACACTACCTTCCCCAGACCCCACTTGTGGGATTATACTGGGGGTTGTTGTTGTAAGAATAAGGTGTAGTTCTGGATTACTCTCTTTTGTTTTTCCCAAAATAAAAAAAGTTCAGCGTAGGTTAGAAATGAGTAAATGGTAGATTATTCTTTCTGTCTATTTTGCTAGTATAATGAATTTCACATTGCGCCATACAACATTTTTCATGGATGGATTTGATGACTGAACAGTGGAAGCTACGTTTTATCCCTGGAGTATGCCTTCTAAATATACTAATGCTTTTACTCTGAACTTCTCTCCTTGTCATTTTTCTTTGTTTTTTATTGGGGAAGGGGGAGGGGATACTGGAAAGAGGAAGGGGATGGGATTTGATCCTTCAACCACATGGTGATAGTCGGACAGCCACAACCGACTGAGCTACCCGCTCATCCCGACTTCTCTCCTTGTCATTTTTCTTTGTTTTTTATTGGGGAAGGGGGAGGGGAAACTGGAAAGAGGAGGGGGATGGGATTTGATCCTTCAACCACATGGTGATGGTCGGACAGCCACAACCGACTGAGCTACCCGCTCATCCCGACTTCTCTCCTTGTCATTTCTAGCCAGAAACAAGAAAAAAGAAAAATGAAAGCTTATGAAATGAGAGAGGGAGCTATTATGTTTAAATGGATAGGGTCAATGTTTTAAGAATTTTATTGGAACTGGATAAGAATTGCATCATGATTTCATTCACCTCTTACATGATGTTGGAAGATGGAATCTCCATTGTCACTGAGCTGGAAATGTTGAGGTAGTATCCTCTTCCAGATTGGAGTTTAGTTAGCCTTCATGTCCATGTCTAGCATTTAGGGATGTTAGGTTGGTTGCATTAGCAAAGGTATTCCCTGCACAAAATTATATTAGTAACAGAAGTCAAATAAAATAAAACATCACTGCACAAAATAATGTAGTGTTTGGTGGGCCACTTAAATAATCTTGCATGACCAATACAAAGTTTGGTTGGCGGTGTTAAACTTAATACATGCATAACTTATGAGGAAATCTTGTATTATTTTATAGGGATATAACGTGGAATAAGAATACATATATTAGCAATACATAAGGTATCTAAATACATAAATGCTCTTAAACTTGGTAACTTGCATAACCTTCCATAAATTGTTGATCATTGCACAACAATTAGCTTGCAGCTTTATGGGGGTGAAAATTGTCACTAATTGCTCGAATAAGATCCCACATGCCTAATGCTTTAAATTGAGCAACTAACGACAGCATTGCCTCATATCGTCTTAACTCTTGAATATCATATAATTCTAATTGATATTATTTAAATTTTTGGTTCTTACCATGTTGTTCATAATACATACAATTCCAGATAAATATATTGTACTTAGAGCAGGTTTGTTAAAGATTGATAGATCTATTTCAGTTGTAATCATAGGTGGAAGAGTTTATTGTGATTTCTTTTGGTTTTCTTCTGAACTTGATCATTTAGATATTGATTGCTTTCCTTTTAGGTCGTATTGTCATGGGCCTCTTTGGGAAAATTGTCCCGAAGACAGCAGGTACTCCATCTTGTGCTGAATTATGTTGTCTCCTTTTGGCGTTGTACATTATCTTGTTAACTGTATTGATGAACTTGCTGTATGATTATTTTTTCTGCAGAAAACTTCAGAGCTCTTTGCACGGGTAGCCAAGTAACTTTTGTTCCCTCTTCTCATATTCATGCATTTAACTACTATTTCTCATTTAAATTATGAAAAAATTACAAGAAAATACACATGACTTCACACCATAACAAAAAATGGCCCATGTTTTTAAGTTTTACCCTACCTAGCCCATATTGTACATATTTTGAAAACACTGGCAAATTCAAAATCTGTATTTTTACAATCATTGCTTCTAAAAGCTATGGAGTTAAATATGTATTCTCATAACCATTGCTTTCACTCTCTCTTCTTCTCACATCTTCTACATATGCTTCGAGGGGCTGAGTATTTTCTGCTTCTCCCCCTGTGTCACTTGGTTGCAATGGAAGAAAATTAAAAAGTAGAAGTTCACCATTGGAGGCCATTCAAAGCTTTGCTTTCAAAAATATGATTTTTTGAGTTTGTTAGTTGTTTGGATTGGGTGTTGTTCCAATTGATTGCAAATATCAAAAGGAGTAAAAGATTTAAATTTGAAGTGATTTGGAGTAGATTTTAGCAATAGTTGAGTTAACTTTCAGAAAAGACGCAAGAAAGAAAACAAATTCAGTTTTTTGTATAATTTTGTATAATAGTGTATAAACACATTTTATACACTATTATACACTTTTATACACCTTTATATAAATGTCTGTAGACGAACTTCTTCCACGATTTCCAGGTGCAATTCTTGTTCAAAACTAGTCCAAATCTCCATTAAATAACTTCAAATTTTATATAGAGCCTCCTTATACTATTTCTAGCAAGTTTAAATAATACCCACTCCAAAATTCTCACGAAATCAAATTTGGAATTTAAACCCACATAATTAAGCTTGTTAAAAATCTAATTTTCACTATCCAAGTGGATTTGGTTATTGAACTAATACTTAAGTCACAGTTACTGATTCGAAAGTTAACTTAAAAGCTTGAGCAATCTTTTTTAAAAATTAAATAGTAATTTCAAGAACCTATTGGAGTTGAATGCTGAGTATTAGCCTATTATTTTTGGGCTAGTTGGTTGTAAATTGAAATATAAGCTATAAAATTGAAAAGCAGGGAGCCCAGTTGTTTTTATGTGAAATTTTCCCTTAAATTATCGAAAATGTATCATATTTGAGTTCCTTTTTTTCTGAGAGATTCAGATCCACTAGGGTACATTTTATCTGAACATCAAGTTACTAAGAGGATACTATTCTGGAAATTCTTAGAAATTTGTGCTCTCGGATAATTTGGCTAATTTCATTACTTTAGAAGTGAACGCAGCAGTGAAGTAAAAGCAATAACAAAGCTAGTTAGAGTGTGTTGGACAAAAACAAAAGAATACTTGTATTACATTTGAGGTGGAAGGAGAGACATCCTATACTGAAAAGGATTAAACTCATGTCCATGCTGTAATGTATGTTGGAGCCAAAAGCAGCTTCCTCTAATTGCCACAGGTCATTGCTGATGCAAAGGTCAAAATGCTTTTTCTTCCTTGACCAGTTTATTTCAAGAAACATCTACATTTGCATGAGGGTTTTTTGTTATCTATTTGTTACTGTGAGGTCCCTTTTTAGCATTTCATCTTCTCCTTACTATCTGTTATGGACATGGAGGAAAAAGGAAACCATCACCTGAGAGGGAGAATCATACTGCTTGCTAGCCCTTTAGTGGGTCTTATGGCTAGACTGACGTTAGACAAGGAGGGTTTTAAAGTAGATGTTAAGCAATTCCCCCAGATGGAAAATAAATGCATAAAGATGGTGAAGCCTCACCACCTTTCTACTGCGCTAGCATCTACTATGCACACTAATACTAAACTTACCAGTCTGGCAAACATTTATCACTCAACTTGTAGGGGAAAAAGGAACTGGGAAGGCTGGCAAGCCTCTCCATTACAAAGGTAGCACTTTCCACAGGATCATACCGAGCTTCATGATCCAGGGAGGCGATTTCACTCGTGGTGATGGGCGAGGTGGAGAATCTATATATGGTGAAAGCTTTGCAGATGAAAACTTTGATCTAAAACACACTGAACCTGGTGAGATTTGACTTTTCAATAGTAATTAGTTGTTGCCTTCTTTTGTTTCTTTTGTGTTTTATTCAGTGGTGCCATATGCACTTTCCATAATGGGAAGTGTTTTTGACAAGAATGGTTTTTCATCTACTGATAGACCTTTGTTTTTGGAAAAGGTATTCTGTCAATGGCAAATGCTGGACCGGACACCAATGGGTCTCAATTCTTTATCACAACTGTAACCACTGGCTGGTATTCAACTAAGTCCTTGCTTTTGTGCAACTTATCTACTACTCAACTTTTAATTTGCTTGGCCTTAAATTGTTTTCTGTGTTGCACTCCATGTTGGTTGTATACGAGTCACGCATATACTGAATTTTGGGTCACCTTTTAAAATGTTTACTTCCGTTCCATGGTTAGGTTGGATGGGCATCATGTTGTCTTTGGCAAGGTGCTGTCTGGGATGGATGTTGTCTACAAAATTGAAGCAGAAGGGAGAGGAAGTGGAACACCGAAAAGCAAAGTCATAATATCAAATAGCGGTGAACTACCTTAATGATCCAACTTTCCATGTATCAAAACACCTCAGATGTTTGATAATGCTTGCCCTCGAGCAAAGTCAGTTTCATATGCTGTCAAGAAATCTGTTATGGGACTATTGCGGCTTGTAAAGTTAAACCAACCCTCTTGAAAGAGGATCACGACTGCTGCTTAGAATAGACAGGGCTCGTTTTATTAAAATATTTATAAAACCTTTGCTTCTATATGTATTTCATAAAAGATTTTGAATGAATTCTTGGTAATATATACCAGAGGTATATTGAAAGTTCCTTTCGTTCTTATCTTTGTTACGAATGAAACTTTTGCACTGGTATCATGATTCTGCCAAACAAAGTGCTACTCATTCATTGTGCTGGAGGTTGCCAACCAATGTTACCAAATTCACGCAGCGTAGACAAGTAGCTTCAATGAATCATTCTTCAAGACTGTACTAGCAGTACCAGATGATTTTAAGTAATACATGCTCAAGCCTTAATAAGAGTTTAGAACAAACTTGCTCTTATTACTAATGTTTAATACAAACTATGTTCTCGTTTTTTCATCTCCAAAATAGGTATGTAAATGATTTCTAGATAACAGAGCAACATCAGGTAGTGACACAACGCGCAGCTCGGCAGACATTGAGAGCGTTATTCGTGATATTAACTAGCTAGAAACTAGGATTAAAAGGAAGTTAAAAAATTTATGGTAGAAAATTTAGAGAAGCCTCATAGGTGTCTCTGGTCGTTGTTGTTCTCATCTCCAATGGCATCGTTTCCCTGATGAAACACGGTGGAGAAATTGGTGGATAGATCAGAATAAAGAGAAACGACCTTGGAAATGTTGCCATTAAGCTCCTGAATCAGACCCACGTTCTGCACCATATTGTTATGCGATCTCGCCTGATGATTCTCGTTGACCTGCTGAATCAACAATCTGTTCCGATCCAGTACCGACTGCACTTGCCGGAATCTGTTGGAGAAGTCGTTCCACATCTCGGAGTTGTCTTCCTCCATACTGCCGTCTGCGTTCTCGTCCCTGTGCTCGTCGGTGTTATACGCTTCAACGGCAGAGCTATTACCGCCGCGTCGGCGCCGGCGGTCGTTAGTCGAGGCAGTGGTGGTAGTTGGAACGTTAAGTGATTGAGCTTTGGCTAGGGTTTGACGACGGCGTTTGAGGTTTGAAGTTTCTTCCATGCTGAATTCAACTGCTGATTAACAATAACTACATAATATAATCAGCACTAATTTGTGTCATAAATACATATGCTCTGTTTTCTGGGGAGGTGTAGATAGAAAAGTGCATACATATCTTCTGCAGATTAGATTTTTTTCATCCTCATTTCCGTATGCTTGTGGCAGCTCACAGAGATGACTAACCATGATGTGACACTGCTCATTCACGCGATATCGTTGAACGTTGATTTTGTGAACAAGGACAGAGAAGATAGAGGGTGAAGGATTGAATAGCACGCGCATAATAAGAGAGTTGGTGTAAGTTTGAGGCGAAAATATCTTATCATGGAGGATTATTGGACGGCATTAAAATAATGAAAAAGTGCAAAAGGTCGCAATTTGAAATGTTTGCTTGGGAATCAAAGTAGAAATATCTACCGGGGAGGTGTACTCTTTTTCCTCCCATATTGACCATAGCTTTTCTTGTGCTTTTTCTTTTTCTGTGTCTGTCAATTTTAATTTGAAAGGTGCATTGTAAGAATAAATATTCTGAAGTTAAATATTAACAAGAAAATTGTTGTTGGTGTTTATCACCCAAATTCGAGGAAGATGATACCAGACTCAACTAGACAAATGATAATGAGCCTTCATGAAGTATGTGCTAGCGCAAAATGAGACAAGATTTTGGATCAAGGATTCTTCCGGGCTCAACCCATTATGAAAAACGAAGGGGTCATGTCCAGGATACAGGGATGAGCATAAAATCCGAAAAATCGAATTCCGAACCGAACCAAATTAATTCGGTATTTCGGTTTCGGTTTTTTCGGTATTTCGGTCTAATTCGATATTGAAATTTCGGTATTTCGGTACGGTCCTCGGTATTAGAAATTTGAAATTTCGGTATACCAAAATACCGAAATACCGATTTTTTTAAAAACATTTTCTTATATTGCCCCAGTCCAGTCCACTTCCCGTGTGTCCCACAGCCCATCGCCCTGCCCACTTAAAATAATTTTAATTCCAAGTTTCCAACAGCCCATCGCCCTCCCTAGCCCACTCTAGTCTCTAAAGTCTAAAGATTTGAGCAATTACCATATACATATTAGACCTTCTATGAACGAATAGTAGCTTCTTTATCTTTTCGGGATATAATTAATCTAGACGTGTCCATTATAAATTAATAGTAATTCTTCGTGTTAAGTTACAGGAAAAGATATATACATAAGAATTAAGATAATGTATTATTTATGCTGGGAAAGGAAGGAGGTGTCAACCTTTTAAAGATTAATTTTATTAATATGTCCTTTGTTTTTAGGTAATTTTAATTCCACGTACTCGTGTGCTTGGATATACCCACTTAAAAAGATTGATATGATCAGTTCTTACTTCTTGGCCTATGAGTTACAGGGTCAATTCCGAATTTCCGATTTGCAGAAGTTTCTTTCTCAAATGAGTATTCCAGTAATTTCTCAAACAAATTCTGTTTTACAGTCTTTACTCTTTAATATTAAACCGAAACCGTACCGAAACCATACCAAACCAAAATAACAAATACCGAACCGTACCGAAATATTTTGGTACGGTATTTGGTATACACAATTGATAAACCGAATACCGAACCGAAATACCGAACGCCCACCCCTACCAGAATATACCTTCAAGGAACTGTCGGACTTGGAATAAGCATGGTGGAAATGACACCAATAGACACTTTTAAATATGTTGTTTAAAATATATTCACAATTTACAATAAATTTAAAAGATTAGCCAATTCGCTCAAATTTCAGGACATAATGTCCTCAAGTTCAAATTTAAGACACCGTGTCCTAAAGTTCGAAAATTGTGTCCAAAAATTCGAATATTATGTCCTGAATTTTAAATTAGCAGTTCAGAGATTCAGGACACTTAGTCATGAATAGCAAATTAACAGTTCAGAAATTCAAAGTGTCCTGAATTTCGTAGCAACTCAAAAAGTTAGGACACTAAGTCCTGAATTTCAAATTAGCAGTTAAAAAATTCAGGATACTTAGTCATAAAGTTTGAGTGAATTAATTAATCTTTAAATATATTGTAAATTGTTAATATATTTTAAATAATAGACTTAAGGGTGGCTACTAGTGCACTTCACTTTTTACCAAGCCGTCAGAAGGTTTTAAATGTGAAGGACTTTAATTGATAATCGCTTTCCACAACACATATATGTCTTCTCTTTACTATACAATTGCTCATCAGGCAACATCAATCTAAGTCATACACAAGATTTACTAAAAATTTTCAATAAATACTTTTGGCTGGTATCATATGCTTATCTCGTGCATACCAATATTTTCTTGCTTTGATTTCCCTAAGAGTTAGAGGGGAAAACACGGAATGACAGAAGTAAAGTAAAACTATGAAGAGATGATTTTATCCTTGACCTCTTATTACATGAAAGAGCGAAGGTTCGCTGACCAGATTTTCCTGTACTCGACGTAACTCCACCATACTCCTTACTACACAATAATGTACGAAACAACTCAATTTCAACCACAAATATCTGAATCATAAAAGCCTATTTGAATCATAAAAGCCTAGAAGATGTGATTTCTCATAGAATTATAAACTTACATGATATGTCTTCTTTGATTTGTCTACCCTAGGCTTTCTGTCTTGTCACAAAAATTCTTCTTGCACGTCCTCCGAAAGACCTTATTTGCAGCGGGTGGTCTTCCCAACTCCTGAGAAAAGAAAAACTTACAAAGAGATCGACTTCACTTTAAAACAACATAAAAAATTCAAAAATACAAGGTAAATTAATTTCAAAACATATCATTGAGATTGAATACCAAATCATGTGCCTCTTACGTGTCCTCGCTTTGATAAAACCTATGGTGCACAAAAAATCACTTTGTTCAATTGCTTGAAACCTAATTTTGTATCTCACACCACTTACCCAGGTTGTGTGATGCTTCTTTTTATTTTATAAATTAGTGAATTTAAATCGTACATTTCTAGATACATAAATTTTGGGTCCACCAATTTATGAAATAAAAAAGTATCACGCAACTTGTATAAGATGTGTGAAGAACAAAGTATACTTCTTTTTTGTTAAAACCTTTCAATGATCATGCTGAACAAGTCAATCCTATATTTGCTCCACAATCTATTGGGTTCTCTATTCCTAATTTGGAGCATGCCGGAGCTAAATGTAAATCTAGTTTTTGAATTTTATGGAATCGAGTATGGGATGCTACCATAACTCATTTGATTTACTGGATTCCAAAATAATTTTTGTATTTGTTTACTAATTTTTTTTAACATACGCATCTAAGTCATTACCAACACCATACATCCACTCTGGCCGGAGCAACTCGAAGAGTTGATTTATAGATTGGACGCGAAAAATAGTCCACATATTTTCTCTTATTCTCATAAAATCACTACATATTCTGAGCTTTCAAGCTCAAAAAGAGCACCAATCCTATCATTATTAACAAATTGAAGAAGAAAATTGCATGAGCAATAAAAAGACTCTTGCAAATTCTTTCCTCAAACCCTTATGACCAGAATAAATCCAATTATACATTTATCTAGAAGACTATGACAATCCATCGTATTAGTGATATTATCTGTTTTGGACTCGACTTGCACAATTTTATAGTGACATTAAGACTAAGGTTTGCTTCCTTATTGTAACGACCAATCTATATTTGATCCCGTTAACTTATTTGATACTTTTCGTATATTTGTTTGTTATTTTATAACTTGCGGGGATGATTGGTTTGGTTTTGGGAAGATCTTGGAGTGAATTGCAACACTTAGTTCCATAGTTGGAAGCTTAAGTTGTAAGAGTTGACCAAGGTTTGAATTTTATGTAGATGATCTTGGATTGTTATTTGATGGTTCCGATAGGTTCGTATGATAATTTTGGACTTAGACGAATGTCCAAATTTGCATTTGGAGGTTCCTGGGATGTTTTGGCTCTAGTTGTCGAAAGTTGAAAATTTGAAGGTTTGAAAAGTTCATAGGTTTGACCGGGAGTTGACTTTAATAATATCGAGTTCAGATTATTATTCCGAGACTTGAAATATATTTATTATGTCATTTGGAACTTATGTGTAAAGTTTGGATGTAAT